TCAGCACTCGAGGCAGAGGCAGGCAGATCTCTGAGTTTTACCCAGAATTCCTCTTCTGATCTGCCTCCCCACTTATTGTCCCAGTGTTATAGCTCTTCTAACAGAACCAGCCCCCTTTTATAACTTTATACTTCCATAGAAACTTTCTTCTCATAAGGCTCCAGCACTGGTCTTGGGTAACCAGGGTCTCTGAAATCCTTGGTAATGGTGCCTGGGATGGCAATTCATTTCCCTAGAGTAGAAAATACTGGGTCTCTCCATTCATTCACCAACATCAGGATTTTCCAAGGCTTGAGATACCCCATATGTTAGAGATGTGCAAAGAGGAGGCAGCAGCAATGGCCGAGCCCCCTAACTGCTCTCCTTGCTTCTCTTCCAGGCGAGGGCTTCCACAACTACCACCACGCCTTCCCCTATGACTACTCTGCCAGTGAGTACCGCTGGCACATCAACTTCACCACATTCTTCATCGACTGCATGGCTGCCCTGGGCCTGGCGTATGACCGGAAGAGAGTGTCGAAGGCCGCTGTCTTGGCCAGGATTAAAAGAACTGGAGATGGGAGCTGCAAGAGTGGCTGAGTTTGAGCCAAGCGTTGGTGGCGCACACCTTTAATCCCAGCACTCGGGAGGCAGAGGCAGGTGGATCTCTGTGAGTTCGAGACCAGCCTGGACTACCAAGCAAGTTCCAGGACAGCCTCCAAAGCCACAGAGAAACCCTGTCTCGAAAAACCAAAAAAAAAAAAAAAAAAAAAAAAAAAGAGTGGCTGAGTTTGGAGTCATCTGGGGTCCCATTCCAAAAATTTTCTGGTCGGAGGCTTAATGTTCCAGGATGCTAAAAGTGATTATCATAACCTGTTTCAGTACAGCGCAGCAATAAAACTCTCATTACTGGAAGGTCACACTGCTCTTGGTGCCAAGTGGACGGTCCCTCCTCTTTCTTCCATTTCTGCTAGTCTTTCGTTTCTGCGATCTTGTCGCCTTCCTCTGTCCTCTCACTGTCTCCCAAGCAGCTGCTCATCACCTTTCAAATTACTAGACAGCTTTCTAGAGTTCAGAAGTAAAGGTCTCTCCAGAGAGCCAGGTCCCTTGAGGAAATGGAACACATCTCTGGGGAAGACCAGTTGGTTTCCAAGAGCCCACATTTCGCTCAGTAGGAAGAGAAAAGATCTTTATTTGGCAGAAAGCTTGCAAGACAGGTAAAGAACCAGGGGTGAGTTAGCCTGCAGGGTAGAAGTCACAAATGACATTGGCTTTGAGCTGGAAATAAGCTACTAGCAGCATCTTTGGTGGCCTCTCCACACAGCCTGCTTCTTTCTGTCTTGAGTATGTGACAGCAGGGCATGCTGGCCATGCCTAAGCATAACAGCAAACACAAAGTCTCCGTCTAACTTAGAAGCATTTCCTTAGGAGGAAACACAGTCTGCGGGGAAAGGCTTATTGTTCATTCACAGCAAGCAAATTCCTTGTTTTGTGAAGCAAGAAGTCTGCAGGTTGGGTGTGTCCAGAATTGCTGAGAACATCTTTCATTTCTCTACTCTGACACATTCATGATGATCAGTTGCTGCTCTCACAGCAATAATCTATCTTTAAAATATTCAGGCATCCAAAAAGAATAAGCATGCTAGGTGCGGTGGCCCATGTCTTTAGTTCCAGCACTCAGGAGGCAGAGACAGGTGGATCTTTATGAGTTTGAGGCCAGCCTGACCCACAGAGCAAGTTCCAGGACAGCCAAGGCTATACAGAGAAACCCTGTCTTGAAAAAACAAAAACAACAACAACAAAAGCACTTCAGAAGGTAGTGCTGAGACAACCCAAAATTTAAGGTGAATGTGTAAGTCCCTAAAAATGTTCCCACCCTTCACCTCTGACAGGGGACCCTGAGGAAACCGAATCGGGGGTAGGAGGAGCTAGGTTATCCTTTCTTTACATTGCTGGGAGGGTGTGAGGCCATTAGATAAGAAGCAGGGTCTACAGGCAGCCCCTGTGTGCTGGTGAACCAAGTTTGAAGCGGGGGCCTTTCATGAGCCCAGTTTCTCTGTGATGTGTCATTATCAAAAGACATCCTAGCTGGGCACAGTGGAACACACCTGTAAACCTGGCACTCTAGAGACAGAGGTAGGTTGATGAGGGGGTCACAAGCAGCCAGAGGGACACAGTTTCATGAAGCAGCTGACTGTTCAGAGTGGCATGTTAAACAAAGAACGTTATAAAAGAAGTTTTTCTCCTGAGTTTTCTCGTAGCCCTACTTCAGTCTCTGAATTATAACTCAGACAGATCAGCGTGGCATGTGAACAAATTTGCCATCGTTTTCTGTGCTGTCAGCTCTAAAGCTAATTGTACTGACGTGACTTTGTGGGGTTGGTTCCCCCCACACACACCCATTTTTCTTTTGGTGTTTGAAGGCCGGATTCCCCTGTGTAACCTTGGCTGTCCTGAAACTCACTATGTAGACCAGGCTGGCCTTGAACTTAAAGGTCCACCTGTCTCTGCCTCCTGAGAGCTGGGATTAAAGGTTTGTGCCACCACCAACCTGACTGTACTGTTTGGGAAGCTTTGGGACTTCAATAGAGTCTCCAGGGTCCTGCCTCTGTGGCCCACCACTCTATCCATGTCCTGAACCTTTTTTTTTTTTTCTTTTTCTTTTTTGAATTTTCAAGACAGGGTTCCTCTGTGTAACAGCTGTCCTAGAACTCACTCTGTAGACCAGGCTGGCCTCAAACTCAGAGATATCCCCCTGCCTCTGCCTTCCCAGTGCTGGGATTAAAGGTGTGCGCCACCAACGCCAGCTGCATCCTGCACTTTTAACTGTCAAAAGGAAGACTGAGTCACACCCCAGCAACCGACCCTTCCTGAGAGCAATGTGAAGCTAAACTGGCAGCAGGAAGCAGAGTCCTAATGGCATCAAATCAAAGCTGACACCACGGCCTGAGGAAATGTCAGAGCTCCATGACTCAGAGGCTCACAAAGGCTCCACATGGAGATCCTGGGAGAGGCTGAGAGCAGAGGGGGAGACCTGCCAGGGAGAGCAATTCTTACCTGGCAGCCCAGGCTGGGCAGTCAGTTCCTGTCTACAGAATGTCTGCCCCCAAAGAACAAAGAGTCCCCCTAAGAATGCTGCTGCCTCTGACAGAGAGAAAAGGAAGCCAACCAGGGTCTTCATGTTCCTAGAACAGGGAGGACTTCCTGGCCACAGCAGGGACAGGTGGGGGCTTCTTTTGTTTTGTTTTTGCTTTGTCTACTTGATCTGTGAAGGCAGACTCGATGGTTTGCGGGAACTCTGTATTCCTGCAATAGCTTCCAGACCAGCATCTTGGCTTCTAAGAGCTGCTAGAACAATCTCTGTCGTTCGCTTCACTTTCTAACCTAAGGCTGCCCTCATTCTCGATGACATCATGACTTAGAACTATTCTGAAGGTGGATATCAGTCACTGAGAATGCCCCCCCCAATCGGGCTGCAGAGATGGCTCAGCCGTTAAAGGCTAGACTTACAACCAAAAATGTAAGAGAACGCCCCCATCAAAGGTTATCACACCGAAACTTAATTTGATAGTGACATTTATTTAATCCTCTAAGACCTGGCTTTCTAAGTGCACACACACACACATACACACACACACACACACACACACACACACTGTTTTAACTACTTTATTTGAAACAAATCAGCATACTCTGGTTTTTTTGTTTGTTTGTTTTATTCAAGACCATAGATTAAGGAAGCACTGATGAAAGCCAAGCCTTTGGTTAGAGGAAACACTCAGTATTCTCTAAATTCTAGTGTTGTGTAGTCTACCATCTCAAGGATAAAGAAAACAAAGACTAAAAATATGCCAAAGGCAGACACTTTAACCTGGAGTCTAAGAAGGCACTCGCCACCAAGGGAAAGTCAATACAGCAAGCTCTACGTTGGCAAAGGAGGTGGAGGCCATGACACGGGTCTAAATACAACTGTGTTTAGACTGGGAAATGTATGTTGCGTCTAGTAGACTAGAGGACAGCAGGATAACATCGATGAGCTGTCTAGTCAGCTGCTGCGTGGCAAGCTAGGGGAGGCATCATTTACCGCATCAGCCGCAGGTACATGACTGACAGAACTGAGTTCCCCTGGAGAAAAGCAGCAAGAGAGCGAGGGGTCTGCTGTGGTGTGTCTCCAGAACCTTGACTTTGCCCCCTGTGCTGAGCAGAGGACAGAGGACTTGTGCAAGCATCTCGGTATATCCATTACCGTCCAGTTATACGAAGAAGCGAAGCCTTGGGAACAGACGGTGGGAGGCTGGGCTCACGCCATCATCTGCACAAGCCGCCTTTCTTCTTCAAGAACCCAACTTGCTCTAACTTCACGTCTATCTTAATATCCAGCCACCCCTGAGGCTTAGGCCATACTCTCAAATCACAGAAAAACCAGGTTATTCCTTCTCTGCTTTTCTAACTGAAGCCTGCTGTCCTGTAAAGCACTTGCTCAAGGCCAGCTTTCTCCTTGAGGGGAGCATGGAGATAGCAGAGAGTGGACTCAGGACCTTGTACACTCGAGGCAAGGGCCCCGCCACTGAGTCACATCACCCAGCCGCAGTTTTCTCTTATAAAAATATCCCCCCGAACCTAAATGGTCAGTACTCAGTGAAATCATGAGATGACACCATGTGTTTCCCGTTCCCTTTGTGCTTCCAACTGTTGGAAATGTCCCAGGAGTGGGAGCATGTTAAATATTCATGGCGCAGGTAACTAGTTGCTCTGTACACTCACAGGGGCAAATACCTCAGGCAATGACTACAGGCTACAAGGAGCTGGGACTATCTTGGAGATACAAACTCCTCTCTTCCTTGCAAATCTCAGGTCTGCTCCTCTGCCACTCTTCTCCAGACCCATGTCATAAGGGGCTCTCAAAGGGGGCTTGATGCTCAGTGCTGGAGTTCCTGCCCGGCACGCACAGGGCTCTGGGCTCAACACCCATCGCCACAGTAAAACAACACAACAGCAAAAACCACACTGGGGGCATGGTGTGCTGTGTCAGCTCACAGAGATTTGGGCTCAGATAGGATCTTGGGGGGGGGACCAAAGGAACATCTGCTTCTTGGCCACTTTGCACAGGGAACAGTGAGTGACCAGGGCTGTAAGACCTGTGAACAAGAACAAATGAAGGTTAAAGGCAGAGAAGCGCCCAGAATGACTCAGGGCTCCATACTTTCCCCTTTCTTAGAAAATTCTGGAGGGCAGCAGAATTCCCCTGTAGCCTGTGACTTCTGACACATACACATACTTAAACTGAAGTGGATCTCACAGCACAAAATTAGCTATATTAAAGCGAGCACTGCTGTGACATTTAGTACGTTCATAATAATGGGCAACCACAACCTTTAGTCCTGAATTATTTTCATCCCCCCAGAGAAAACCCATGCCCATTCAACAGTGGTGCCCCACAACTCCAGCTCAACGCAGCCTCCCATGCCTTGTAATGAGCAGTAACTAGGATTTACGTACTGGTGATATTTCATGGAGCCACACAGCCTGTGGTATTCTGCGGACTTCTCCCATCGTGTCTTTCCGGGTACTCATTCACACTGCAATGCCCATCAGTACCTCATTGCCTTCTGCTAATCAATACTGGGCTGCAGTGTGTGCCCCACTGAAGTACCCTTTGTTGGTGTACAGTCGTCTGAATCTTCTGGTAAGTGAAATGTGTTGCTATTATTTCTGTGCAAATATTTGAGAACCTGCTTCCAGCATTCTCCGTACACAACCAGGAGTGGATTTCATTGCTCATAAAGTAACTCTTTGTTTTTGTGGGAACATCGAACTTACTGTCACAGCGGCTGCACGCACCATTTTATACTCCCACCAGCTATCGCTGTCCCCCTGGAGTATTCATCTGTTCACACATCTGTCCCTTTCCTCCTCCTTCCTTCCACAAAACCCAGACCCCACAGATCCTCCGACCCCCCTCTTGCTCCTGGGACACCTCTAGTAGCAACTGGTCTTGTCTTTTCTAGGGTAGGGCAGGCTGTCAATTTCCTGGATCGTTAAGAAACACACTACAGTCTTTTGTGTGACTCCTGCTATGCACCAACACCTCTGTGGTCTCTCTAAACTTCCCATTAAACTCCCACATAAGGAAACTTGGGGCAGAAGGAAGATCAGTGTGGAAACCCAAGTTCCAGGCGCTCACGTCCCAACCGTCTGCCTCCTCCCGCCCTGCCTCTCTGAAGTGGGCGGGCCTGGGGGGACCTAGACGCCTAGAAAGACCCTGGGAGTGGAGGCCCCTCCCCGGGGTTACTCTCGGTCAGCACCCGCCCCCAAGGTTACTCGCGTTCACTCGGCCCACAACACCCGACCCCGAGCAGCCAATCAGCAGCCGCGCTGCGACTCTGCCCGTGCCCGCTCCTATCAGGAGGCGCTGCCCCTGCAGCTTGGCTGCCGGGTCGTTGTGGTGCCTCTTCTGCGCCCCCCACCTCCACCCCCACCCCAGCCTGGCTCTGAGGTTGCTGGGGATGCGCGCGCGCAACTTGCTGTCATCTTCCAGGTGGAGCTGATGGAAAACTTCCTGGGGATCCCCACCCCCCACCAGGACAGGCCTCCCTCACTGGGGAACGCAGAGCTGTGGGCTCCACATAGCCAGTCCTAGTCCATGAATAACCTTGGGTATGGGTTCTGGGTTCTGGTCCCCAGCTCCCTCCTCCGTGGGGGGACTTGGCTAAGCAGGGCTCGATCTTACTGCTTCGTGCAGGCATCTATCATGTAGACGGCCGCGCCAGAAAACACAGAGACCGAAGTGTTTAGAAGCGATTCGGGCTGAATGTGCAGGGGAGGCTGTGAATGCCAGCCAGGCACAGAGAGTCTAGATTGCTCGGTGATAAGGAGTCATGAGAAATACTCAAGCCGGACAGGAAAATCTGTTTCAGAAAGTTACTGTGGTGGCCATAGCAGAGCAGAGGGGACCAGATTAGAGCTGGAAGGCCAGACCCAGGCTTCGTGACGACTCCTGTTAGGGCATGGAACCTCCAAATCTTAACGGTGCTGCTGGGCAAGGCAAAGGACATCCGAGTCACTTAGGAGTAGAATTAATGAAGGAATCTGCACGGAGTGGGGGCATGGAGAGGCAGAGAGGGAGACAGGCTGAGGCTGACCCAGAACCTCTTCCCCCTCCTGGGATTACAGACCTGCTGCACTGGGTTTTATGCAGTCCTGAGGCTCAAACCCCGCTCTTTGTGCATGCTAGGTAAGCACTCACCCGCTCTCCTACATCTCCACCTGTATATAGTTGTTCTCGTATTACGGCCAAGGTGAACCTGAACATAACTTAGGAGGAGAAATCATTTCATTGGGCTTGCTTTGGACACGGTAGCACCACCCCACTTTCCTCCCGATTTCCTGCCTCAGAAGAACATCTTGGAATTCTTTTTAGCTGACTCTTCTTGGCATTCCTTTCTGTATTTCTAAATGCAAGCTGATACCACGATTAATTGACTTAAAGATTTCATTTGTTGACCTCTCGCCTTGGAAGATGGAAATGTAATTTTTAAACAACCACCACTGTGGTGACCACCACACACTCAAGTGTTCAGGTAGGAACTCACACACTTCATCTTCTCCATCCCGTCAATACAGTTATGTCATAGTTCTTGTTAAATCAGTAACGAGGTATTTGTACAAAGGTGACTGTGTAAATACATTCACGCAGTGGCTTCGCTATTGACAGCTTTTGTTTTGGCCCTGATCTAGTGACCCTGCAGTTTTGAACACTACTCATTAATGCGCTTGACCCCTTCCACCTCCTCTCTTGTCTGTCACCACATTTGGCAGCAGCCAATGCCCAGCACATTCCCTACTAGTCACGGGAGAAACTGCTTTTAAGATAAGCTGTCTTCCACAGGTGGCGGCATAAGCCTTTAATCCCAGCACCCGCACCAGGGAGGCGAACCTCTGTGAGTTCGAGGCCAGCCTGGTCTACAGAGTGAGTTTCAGAACAGCCAGCACTGTTACACAGACAAACCCTGTCTCAAAAAACAAAACAACCTCCACAACAAAAAAGATATGCTGTCTTTACTTTTTTCCAAGTTTAATATTATATCGTCAATGACTTTCATTTGGTTCCTTCTTCTGAGCATTTTTTTAATTTTAATAATTGTTGAGTTCCTCCCCACCCAATTTTTGTGTTTATTTGCTTGTTTTTCTCTTTGAGTTTTACACTAACTTGTTCTGTGAGTTTTACACTAACTTGTTCAAGTGAGCCCATGCCATGGGCTGAATGAGGGAGGCAAAGGGCAATCTCAGGGATCTTTCTCCATGTGTGGGTTCCGAGAGTCCTGCTCAGATCTGCAGGCGTGGCAACAAGCAGCTTCACCTGCTGAGCCTTCTCATCAGCCATGTTTGATCTTTTAGGATTCTGGTGTCCTGCTCACTGCTGTGTACTAATGTTCTTTTTATTTTCTTGCCCTCTCTCTCTCTCTCTCTCTCTCTCTCTCTCTCTCTCTCTCTCTCTCTCTCTTCTCTGCCCTCACCTTCTTCCTCTACTTGTGCTTTCAATCAATAAACTCCCAACTTTGCTCCAAAATGTAAAATAAAAATTCCCTCCTCTCTTCATTTCAATTCATTTTTATTTGATTTTCTGAAGGACACATGGCAAAGCCTTCTTAGAAATGCATTTGACAAGCAAAAGGCTAAGTGCATAAGCTGATCTCCTTTCTCCCCATAATAAACTTCTTGCCAGAACCAAAAGAATTCTCATTAACTCTGAGAACAGTGCCCTATAAAATGAAAAGAGAGGAAGAAAAGGAGACAAGAGTGACTTTAAACTCACTTTCCAGAAAAATACAAATCTTGACCAATTTAAAACTACGACCTTTGAATAAGTTGACTGTGATACCCTGGCTTTTGTAGAGCAGTGTGAGTCACATGGGAGATCGTATCCCACAAGCGCAGTGAGGGAGAGTCACATGGGAGATCGTATCCCAGAAGTGCAGTGAGGGAGAGTCTTGGCAGGGCAGGGACACATCTGTCCCAATATGTGGAAGGGACGCCCACTGCCCAGGCCTGGCTATCTCCACTGGGGACCTGTGGCTCTAAAACGACTGCCTGACACATGTTTCCCACACCTGAATTATCCCTGTGTCATCTGGGTTATTAAGCACTTACAGCAATTTAGAGGGAGGTGATAAATGGCATAGGCTGTTTGTGTATTTTAGACATGGTTTCACAATGTCGCCTAGGCTCGTTCTCAACAATTCCTCCTGCCTCAGCCTCCCATGTATGGAAATCACACGGGTGAGCAACAACACTTAACTCAGTTTTCCTTTCTCTTGCGGTGCTGCTGATAGAAGGGAGCCTTCCTTGCATGCTAGGCAAGCACTCTAACCCATCCCCAACCCACAGACAGCTTATTAAGTTATACATATTAATTTCTCGTCTATGAATAACGAAGTGGGAAAAAAAGATACCAGGGCCCTAGCAAGAGAAGAAACACCCACAAATGTGGGTTTATAGAGCAAGATAACAAACTTTTCACTAAAATAAGAATAGAATGTTCCTTCTACCTTAACACACATACCTTCCTAACCTTGAAAGCTTAGTCTTGAGATTTCTCAGATGGTTCAGAGTTCTTCAGCAGAAAGGAATTAATAAATGGGCAGAGCTCACCTTCAGCCCCTCTCCCTAGTCCCTTCCAGAAGGAAGATTCCCAGAGACGGTGAAAGATCCCCTTCACTAAGGTCCCCTTCCTCACTGTACTTGGGATCCAACACCCTGAATCAGGCTGCTCATCCAGAAGAGGGGATGGAATGGAGTCAAGTGTCCTTGTCTTTCTCCACTCGGACTCCAGCATCCGGTACCCAACAGCATCCGGTACCCAACAGCATCCTGAACAAGGACTCTTCAGTGGCCTATGCAGCAGCACCTAATTCTAGACACTTCTGCACTCCGGAAATCCAACCACCCAGAGGACAAATACCTTACTTAGCTGATGCCCTTGTATTGGAATTGCTCGTAAAGGAAAGGAAGGGCAGGGAGAGGAAGGGGGAAGAAAGGAAGGGGGAGGGCAGGAAGGGGAGAGAAGTTAAATGCGTCGAAGAGTAAAAACATCCGTCTTCCTTTACACTCCTTATGGAGCTCATGGGAGTAGCCTGACCTCATTCCACATTAGAAAATACTTACTTTCTATCTGGGCATGATAGTGAATAACTGCTTAGAGTAATTTTTATTCTTTTACTGAGAAAGATGAGTTCACACTGTGATGAAAGGCATTTCTCTTCAAGGGCTTTGCTGAGCTAGGACGAAGCCAGCTTCGAGTTAAGTGTGTGGCTCTCTCCTCTTTATTCTCTTTGCCTGACTAGTTCCTGCCATTGGCTTAGAAACAAGAGGCAGGAAGCATGCCGCAGGGAGACAGACTGCAAGATCTTGAGTGATGCTAGACAAAAGACTCTCCGTCCATCTGCCACATCTTCACTCCCGTTCCTAACCCCAGAGATTCCTATGACTTGCCACCCCGGTTGAGAAGAAACAAACGACACACACCCTGAAGGTGCGTCTTTTCAAAACAACCTTTGCTATAATGCTCATTTATTGCGTAAAAGAGAAGGTTCTGGAAGAGATAATAAAGAGTATCTTTTTGTTTTGTTTGTTTTTTGAGGCATGGTTTTTCTATAGCTCTGG